CCCCCCTCCCCCACCCCTATCGTCGTTGCTTCGTCGATGCGCAGAGAACGAATCGGCGGGTTCTGCGCCGCGTCTGGGAGCGCTGCGACCGGGGCGAGCCCCGTTTCCGTGCGTTCCGGCGTTGTCTTCTCGCAGAAACTGATCGATCGTTAGCGTGTTTCGCGGCACGGCTATTGTGTAAAAAGGACCCATGACGCTTGGGTAGTGCACGCTGAGGAGTGGACGCGTAGTTTTTCCTCTCGAGTTTCGTCCTCTTGTGATATTTAGACTGTGCCAATAGGTGAGTAGGAAAATGATCTTGCCTTTTGTCTCTTTATCTGGCGTTTCTCTCTCCTCGCCGCCGCGTGCCTTCGCTCGGTTCGGTGGAAAGTTTCACGGAAAAATCAGGTCGCGCTCCACGGATGTCGCGTTACCACCACGTTCTCTCACCCGCTCGCGTTCTTCCTCGAGGATAATCCACGCGTTTCTCATCCCGCGCATGCGGGAACCGCTCGGTTTCAGCGTTATTCCGGCTGCGGGGTAGAGGAATTTTCCCTGAAAACTTTTCGGGAGAGTTTTTCGCCATTTTGTCTCGTTCCGTGAACGAGCGAGGTCGGCCATTATGCGTGATCGTTAAGCGGGTTACGCGACGTCGTCGATCGACCGCGGGATCGTCGAGGACGTTTCGCCGTTACGGGCCGACGCCTGATGCACGTGGGGACGGACCGTCGAGGCGACCGAGAAACCCCGGACGGGGAGATTATTGCACTTTAAACGGATTGTCCTCTAGTAAAGATAATACGTGCGTGCGCGTCTCTTTCTCCCCCCCTCCCTCCCTTTCCTCCTCCTTTTAGTGCTTGAATAATAGGTCTGTCGCGCGCGATACTTGTGTGTTTTTTTTTTTTTCTCTTTTAAATTGTATACGTCTCCAACGGTTTTTCTTTCTTCAACGTTCAAATATACAGTCGTCACCCTTCAAAAGTGCAAAAAATTTCGGGAGTTTTTTCAAGCAATGCGGGGTATCTGACTTTTTACGTTCGTCTCGTTGTAAGTGGAAAATGTTCTAATTGGAGGATCTCTAGTGGACACATCAATCGGTAAATCCACGCGAATTACATAAACACGTGGCGTTGTTTTGTGCATCTTACGGTTGCTCTTTACGACACTTGGGATACGTACGTAACACCTGTAACGGTTGTAAATTCCAATTTCCTCATTGTCCCGCGTTAATTGAATAACTAGGTACGAATAGGAGTGGCGGGAGGGTTGGAGGAACTATCGGTTCTTTTTTTATTACGTAATTGTAAGTCCCTTGTTATCTTCTCGTGCAATTAACCGGTCGTGTTCGGTTTTGTTTGTGACGTTGTTATGCGTATCACGTGCCACCGTATCTATCAGCGGCGTTTTCGACGGTGGCTAAATATAGAAGAAGTGATCGAGGTCGCGTTATGAGAGGTTCGGGAAAGCGTCGGCCATGACTGTTACAGCGCCGGGAATGAGAAAAGCGGCGAAACGTCCGCCATGATGTTATACCCGACGCTGAAATTTCTAGACGCCAGGCGCGATTACCTCGCGACGAGAGATCGTCCCGGTCGAGATTTTCGTTTATTGATTCAGTAACGTCTGCGAATTTCAGATAGCGTCGGAAATGACAGGCGTCATTTCTGCGTCAGCTCTGAGATTTCGGTTTTACTTGCTTCTTAGTTTTCAACTCTTCTTAGTTTTTAACTCGCTTTCTAGTTCTGAGAATTAGAAAAAGAAAGATGAATAAGTTGATGAAATCAAAATTAATCCTCCACTAGCAATTTTGGATTTTAAACTCAAAGTTGATTTTTTAATTGTTAATTTTGATCGATAATTTTTCTACAAAATAAATACAATATTATCTGTGATAGTAAAAATTCGGTTGAAGCTTTCAGAAGTATGTATGAATTCTTTTGGATTTTTATACAGTCCGGAAAAATTTGTATTTAAAAAAAACTTAGCAAAAGGTGAAAATTTCGTCGCTGACGGAGATTAAAATTAATCTGTGTTTTGACGGAAATGGACATAATAAGATGCTGTGACCATACTAATGTAAATTTAACTCGGTTCAATTTTTTTCTTATCTTTTTCGAGGTTCGATTCCATTAATGTAATAAGATTTACTTTAATTTCTCGGTTTAATCTACTGTTTATTTTTTTCTAATTCTTTATAAAATTCGGCTGCATTTTTATTAATGTTAATTAATTTCAATCAATCTCGCGTCAATTTACCATTTTTTTTTATCTTTTTTCTTATTTTTAGAATTAGAAAATAAAGAGTAAGTTAAACTGAAGTTAAAATTAATTTACATAATATTAACATAAATAGATATTAGGAAAAAATAAAAAGTAAGTTTTTTTTTCTAGTTCTAAGAATTGAAAAAAATGAAGAGTAAATAGGACCGAGATTGAAAAATTTATCTTGGTGGAACTGAGAAGAGCTTCAGAATTGGAAAAAGATGAATTGTATCTTTCGACGTAGATTAACTTTAGTTTTGGTTAAATTTAATCATCATTCTTTTTTTAATTTTTAAAACAAACAGATGAAACCATGGTTAATTAAATCAAGATTAAAGTTAAATATTGGTAGAAAAAACAGATGCTAGTTTTGAACGGAGATTGAAGTTCAAACTATCATTGGTGGTGACTATAAAATGTTTCATTACACATAATGATGATAGTAATTGAATATAATTTTGAGGCAAATTTCTTGTTGATAATAAATTTCTGATAACGGCTTTATATTGACTTGTAACATTTTAGACTGATTTTCTGATTAGTTATTGACTGTGTATCTTAGAGCAAAATAGTTTGTATTCTTATCTCATTGTGGAGACGACTTAAAAATTATTACGACCGAATACTTTTCTTTTCGATCTGTTTGCTTTGATTATCGAGCCATGATAAACATAGGTTGAAGGATCGTCTCGTGATATTACGTAAAGGAATGCGTAAAGCCGTAATCACACTAGCGATTGAGCGATTGTGATTGACGATTGAGGATTACTTTTCAACCAATCAGAGCAAAGCAGTCACCGATTGCTTTGTTCCGATTGGTTGAGAAGTAATCCTCAATCGTCAATCACAATCGCGCAATCGCTAGTGTGATTACGGCTTAACATCGAGTTGTTGAAACAAGAAAAGGGCAACGACGATTGTCGTTCGATAACGTTAGCGATTTCTGCCTTTATTACAGCAATTAAACGCCCTTTATTGACATTCCATCCAACGATCGAATTTATACGATCCTATCTCGACTTTATTTATTCTTTGGATTAAACGCGCAATAAAATAAACAACGACGGTAAAGTATCATCGGGACTTGACGGAGAGATTCGATCTGTACGTTAAACAACAGGCGAGAAATAATAAATGGTGAAATGTCGCTTGTATTGAAGTGCGGTCGTGCGGAGTATCTTCAAAAATTTTCGGGCATCGCTTTATACTGATTACCCTTCAACACGTAATATTTATATTTTTAAATAAATATTTAAATACAAGAATCAATACTAGGAGTAGATAGATAAAATATTAGGTGACTGTTCTCGTTTATGGAAAGTCCATTTATTAGTCGTTTATATGGACAATTTTTATTTATTGTTTACGTTTTTACAACAGTTGCAATTGCAAAGCTGCTTTCTCTGATGAACGCAATCATTGTTTTCCGTGAACGACCCAACGGTCGGCCGACATTTTGTCTATCGTGTACTCTCGCCCTAAGAACCGTTTATCGTGAAATATTTTTAGAAATGTTCTTTTACTTTTGGAGTTAATGGTCGCTTTGAGATTAGTAGAGTCGAGATAAAACCGTAGGATGTCTTACGTTGATCATGTAATGAACTTTTAATACACAGGTTTTTTTTTTCCAGGTCGCTGTTTTTATAATCATGTGTAATATTGTAGATAGTGAAAGAATATATATTTTCATAGAATCATAACGTAAGATTAAATTTAGTTATCAAAGCAACTTTTTTTTTTTATTTTTTTCCAACAAGCGTAGTGGTCGATTATTTTTTTTCGTAGAAATAGCTAATATAAAAAAATTAATTAAATACTCCGTTAAATTTTTTACGATGTAACTTACATTTCAAGAAAGCGAAAGTAGAAATTTGGGGGGATATAGATGAAAATAAAAAGCCTACTTTTACAGCACACGAAGCATTTTTCTTGCTGTATTGCTTTACGTTTCAGTAAACTTATTCCACGTTTGTCGGGATATAATTCTAGTAATTTGCTAAACAAGCTATCGAGAAAAAAATATCGTAGACGTAAAATTCAGAAGTGGAAATTCTAGCGATGTAGCAAAATCGAGTTACATTGATCATGAATTATTCGAACGTGCTTCAAATTTCTAAATTCGATTTTAATTGAAGCGGCGTCTGTATGAGATTTTAGAGCGTAAAACTTATGTTCAAATAAATAAGAAATAAAATCTGAGCTATATAATAAATTGACTAATCGCAGTCGGATACAAGGAGGATAATCGATTACGATTGGACCATTTTTGGGGCTGAAGTTTTACGTTTTAAAATCCCCATTTATAGACACATCGCTCGAAGTGAAATCGACGGTAGAATTTGTGCCACGATAAAATACGAGTTGGAAATCGATAAGTACGCGTTGACGTTGCGATAGGGCAGACGTTTTTCGATGACTTTTGAGACGCGTTGTACTTGGACAGTCAATAGGAAAGATTCGTTTTTTTTTCCAAGGTTTTCTGGAAATCTGGGACGATAATGAGATCGTCGGGCGCGTTTCGGGAGGCAGTGAAATACGAAATCGCGACCATCTTGACGCCGAAACGTAATTCGGCCTCGCCGAGGCAGCGTCAGTGCTATTCGCAATCACGTCGCAGTAGCGAATTTCCATGCGACGCGCATGCGCGCCGTTTTCCTGTTTTTCCGTCTCGCTCGCTCCGGGACGCGGGCCGCGGGTTCGCGCCGCTCTCGTACGCCTGCGCCCTCGAACGACAGTTAACGGTGGCCGAAGCCGAGAAGGCGTTGAGCTTGAGCTGCGCCATTGTTGAAAAGGGCAGCGCACGAGGCGGACGCCGGGGCTGGACGGTCCACGCTGCTTTACACTTTTCACCGACTCCATTGCTGTGATATTAGATTGTTTTATATCTCCCTTATTAGGTGAGTTAGCATGTATATAAATACGAGCGCGCGCGCGCGTCCGGTCGACGGGAAATCCAACGTCGGGAATGCGAGATACGACGTGACATGGCGCGGCGGGGCGGGTCCGTGAAATGGCGAGTGCTTTCGGAAAGATTCGTTGCGATTTATCTCTCGCGGTCCATCGTCGTTGCCGTCGTAATTATCCGATGTAAAAGCGGAAACGGGCGGATCTCAGCTGCGCGGAGTGCCGAAGCGTTTGCGATCTCATTTGTCATTGTCCAGACGCGACGCACGACCCGCGCGGTGGAATTCGGTCGGGCGGCGAGAGTGCGCGCGCGAGCGCAAAGCGGATCGATCGACCGACCGTTGCTTTTCCGCCGCGAGCTTTCCACCTGCCGCCATTTTGTCCCGGGGTCCGACCTCGCCGACCGCCATTCCCCCCCCCCCCCCCCCGCGCGGCGCGGGGAAGCGAGCGGTCGCGTCGCCGCAAGATGGTTCCTCCGTTCTCGTTCTTCGTCCCGCTTTTTTTCCTCGCGTTCCTGTATATCGCGCGCGCGCGCGCGCGGCATGTGATCTGGAAAAATTGTCAACAATTTGTTTTCGTTTCTCGCGCACGCACGTACACACTCGGCGCGACACGCCTGATGTAACGCGCTCTCGCGCGCGAGATAACAATATAAATATATTACGCAATCGCGCGCAAGCGAGGAACAACTCCATCTTTTTCGGTCTCCCTCTCCCCCTCCTTCTCTCTCTCTCTCTCTCTCTCTCTCTCTCTCTCTCTCTCTCTCTCTCTCTCTTTCTCGCTCGCTCGCTCGCTCGCTCTCTTTTTCTTCCTCTTTTTACTCGGCGCGCAGCACCTCGCGACTGCGTAGTGCACTCGCTCCAGTCTCTTCCTGCTGCGTGTGCGGTAATCTCCTCACCCTTCGTCACTCCCCACCCTACACTGGTCCGCGAGCCGCGTGATCGATTTTCCGTATTTATTGCGCGCCGCTAATGTAAATCGCGCTGACGTAAATCGAGTTAGACCAGTCCCGGTTTCGCTCGTCGCCGCCTCGGCCCGGCGCGACGCGACGTGGAAAACGTCGTGATAAAAAATATGCGATTCGATCGCGAATTGATACGGTCGTTTGCAGTGAGCAAGTTTTTGGTAATCGCTGATCATCGATAACGTCGCAGGTCGTCGTCTGTCAGGTAACTCGCAGTTTTTGGCGTTTTTTTTCTTTTTTTCTTATTTTCATTTCTTCACTCGCCTGGCGCATTCTTCGTTTTCGATCATATTTTGCTGGTGTAACGTTACATATTCTCCATCGATATCGTTTTAAAAATCGTCACTTAAACGTCTCGTTCCGATGTACATCGCTAGTCCTAAAAATCTGTAGGCGAACGTAACGCGTATACACTACAGATTTTCGGTACTGTAAGTGTATGCGAGTCGAAATCTGGTCCTGATAAAAGAAATTGTCGGGTGACCTCCGAGAGGAGGGGGTCCAGTGGCGGCGGCGGCGGTACCCGCAGCAGCCGCCCCTGAGTCCCAGGGGCCTCCGCGATCGTTGTGCAAGCGGTACGCGCAGCCCGGACGTCGCGACTGCGCGTGCGCAGTGCTTGCGCGTCCTCCTGCATCATCCCCACCAAGGCAGTCCATTACCGTTACCAGACACGCACAAAGGAAAAGGCTAGAAGAGCGATCCGACCGACGCATCGCTCACACGGCCATTTTGGAAGCTTCGGCGCTTCGTTACGGAGCTTTTCCCTCCGTCGTCCTCCCGCGAGGGCTGCGTGCGAAAAAAAGGAGAAAGAGAGACAGACAGGACTGTCGGGTCGGTCGAGAGACGTAAGTCGATAGACGTACTTCGCCGGGTACGTCGTTCGACTCGATGTGCGCGATAATAATCGGTCGCGGGAGGACGAGATAGCGTCGGGTCGCGCGCGGTCGATCGATAGTCCGGTAGGAAGAAATAGCGCGAGAGAGAGAGAGAGAGAGGACGACTCCGTCGGCGAGTTCCGCACTTGTACGTTTACCTGATTCATTGGCACGTTTCGTCATTTTTCACGCGTTTGCTTTTTCATCTGTGCAGAAACGAGGAAACGAAACCAGAACTACCATGGAGGACGACCAGCAGTTCTGTCTCAGGTGGAACAACCACCAAAGTACGCTCATACAAAACTTCGACACACTCCTTGAAAGCGGGACGCTGGTCGACTGCACACTGGCGGCGGAGGGGAAGACTCTCAAGGCCCACAAAGTTGTCCTCTCCGCGTGCAGTCCATACTTTGAGGTGAGCAACACGTTCTGTTTATTATTATTACTTAATCCTACAGTTCATTCCCATCTTCCTAAAAGTATTCTGAAGTAATTCTTTTTTTTCTTTGGGATACACTAATTGTGTGTCTTTTTTATTTCCTTAATATTTTCTTGGTACAATCGAGCGAAATCTTCTGATTTATTTGGTATAATCAGGCAAGATTTTTTTCTCTTTTACTCTATTATAATAAATTTATATTATTGTTGTTCATATCTGAAATTAGAGACGTAATTATGATAATTTTTTTAGCAACGTTAATACATTTATTATTATTAATGATTTTTAATTATTTGTTAGTGAAAAAAATGCGAGTTTAAATGGAAAAAAATTTTTATTCCAAGAAATAATTATAAACGTATATAATATAATAAATTATATTAATAATTGTGTGCCGTGTGAAGCTTTACCCCTTTTATTTCTTTGTCCATTTGGCTCAGTCGGGTTAGATCAATACGAAACGTGTTGGGAGAGAGTGAGATAGATTGTTGAGTAGCAAGGGAGAGAAGGGGGATCTCAAGTTGAAACAAGATGGCCGTGCTTGTTGAACGTTGCCTGGGCAGAAGTGTAGGAGGTGAAGTGGGGGAGAGTGGGGAGCAAAAGCCTGAAGCCCCCTCCCAGGTCCTCCTGATCAATACAAGGAAAGCAAGATGGCTGATTTCCAGGGCACTTGCCCTGGGATTTTATCCTAATATGGGTGGGGATGCAAGAACGGTTGTTACAATAATTTAATACTGCTCTATAAAAATTAACATCTAAAATAATATCATCGAATTGGACATGCGTGTCTGTAGATATTAGTTCGTCCCAGATACAGCACTTTGCATTCTTAGTAAAGCTATATATGATATATTTAGAGATCAATACTTTAATATTGCAAAATAAATACTTGTGCATATGCCATGTAATCCATGAATAATCGTCAAACCTTATTACGTTTGAATATTTGCTTTTTTGCACATTGTGTATTATGATGAGCAGACAGTAAATGTTACATTTTTATTAAATATAAATCAGAAAGATAAATATTTTATGTAACTAATACATATATTTATAACTAATATTGTACACTTGTCTGAAAAAAATTATGTATTTTTGTTACAGTGCCTCCTCAGCGAACACTATGACAAGCATCCAGTGTTCATACTCAAAGATGTTAAATTCAAAGAACTTAAGGCAATGATGGACTATATGTACAGAGGGGAAGTAAATATTTCCCAAGACCAACTGGCAGCACTCCTTAAAGCCGCTGAGTCTCTGCAAATTAAGGGCCTTTCGGAAAGTAAAACTGCTGGCAGTTGTAAGACGGAGTCTAGGCCACAGAAAACCGTCTCACTACCAACAGCACCGTCGTTAGACATTCCACACGCGTCTTCCGGTCTGACGATAGAAAAGAACAAAGTTCCTAGGCAGAGTTTGGCGCAAAGTTCCGTAGGAGATATACCAGAGGATACGGCTAGTCCTCAGGTGTCGAAAGGGCTCTCCTCGAGGTGAGTACTTTGAGAGAGAACAATTGCATTACGTTATAACTTATTATTAGACGCGAATGTAATTTATACTTATTTCAAAAATATTGCTAATTTGTACGTTCTTTTTGCTCCTACAGGGAAGGTTCACAAAGTCCAACATCAAGAAAAAGAAAAAGGTTTCGAAGAAGAAGTTTAACCGAAGATAGTACGATAGAAAATCAGGACGCATCGAATTCCAGCGACATGCCTCAGCAAATGAGTGTACCGGCGCTTGGTATCGCGCCAGTGGCGGACGAAAAAGTACACGCAGATCCAACAGACTCTCTCGGCAGGTCAGCTTTAATGACGCAATTGACGAAACCTGCCGATGAGATGTTACAGGTAAAATGTGTTCGACGAATTTTTCTGTTCCTTTTTTTTTCCGTATGCCAACGCTCTAGTAGAGGCTGTCGCTAAAAGCGCTGTTTCTTTCGCTTCGTTGGTAAAGAAATATCGTTCTCTATCCTACTGCCTTGGTCTTACTTTTTCCTTGCCGCTGCAGTGTGGAAACGGTGCGAGACAACTTTCTCTCTTGCTAATTATATTCTTTTTTTTGGAGATTTTTGTTTTGATATTTCTAACGCATTTAAATGTTTTATAGTTGCCACTCGAAAAACCCGAGCCAAATGATAATCTCATCGAGCCAAAGTCTGAATACCTAGATGACGCTGAGGAGGGTGTCGAAGACCTGACGCTGGATGAAGATATGAATGATCTTAATGATATAGAACAGGACAACAATAGAGCTGGACCGTCCCATGACCCCGCCCAACACCCCGGTAAGTTTCAAATAATGTATTCATTATTTATAATTTTTGTTTTTATCGTAGTGAAATGCAGGGTTTTTTTCTCATTTAGAGGCAATGTGAATTATAATATATGCATTTAAACTTGCGCATCGCTAAGCAGCGTTGCACATGTAAAAATATGAAGAGTATACGTGGCGAATAATTGCATTTTGTATAAAATTTATATGCTTTGAAAAAGAGTCAACGACTTTAGCGAATCTTCGATCCAAAAAGTTTATTTGGATCGAAGCAGAGCTTTACGTCTTGTACGATTGGATAGTGATTCTTGAACGGAAATCTCGGTATTGCTGGATCGCGATAATCAATTGTTTCTCTCTTGATCGTAATTAGGAAGGGCTTGTACGTTAAACGAATTAATAGTTCGGTGTCACGAAATCGTTTCGTTGTTTTTGTTTATTATCTGTTAAAACGGGACGTGTAATAAATTGGCCGACACTAGCTTGGGTTTCCTCGTTGCAGGTGGGGGGGCGGGAGCGCGGTCTCGGTCGAGAGGGAATTTCGGTATTGGTGACGATGGTGATCGTAATGGTGGCGGTGGTGCCCCATGGGCTTCCCATTTCCTCGAATGTAGTAAAGTGCCAAACATGAGACGGCCGCGCCCGGACGTCGCTGACGTAGCCGCGTTGCTTAAATCACTGGCGAACAAGCAGGGCAGGAAATATAGCTTAGACTCGGTTAAAATGTCCCTGGAGGCAATATTGCAACAGGGGGTTAGCACCACTCAAGCGTCCGAGATGTACGGCATTAATCGTTCAACATTGCAGTTCTATTTGAAAAAGTTGAACGTCGTCAGGAGGAGATGGAAACACCAACCTTCTAGTCCAATCTTCACCCCGGTCCAGTCTAGACGGACATAGTGTGCGACACTCGCGAATATTGTAGCGTTCCATGCACCGTTCTTTTAACGTCGAGCTCAATCAACACGATGGTCGTTTAATATTAATAATTGTTATATAGTTTGTTTGAAACAGACTGATTTGAATTTACTCTTAGATAACTTTAAAAGTCGAACATGATTCTTACAACATGCACATTGTCGAAAGACATTCTTCTATTTGCATGTTAACATTATATTTATCCGAAAATTAAAATTCCGACAAGAATCACTTCTGAGCTAGTCGAATTTAACGATAATTATACATATAATACACATGTGCAATTTGGAAGTACGATGAGAGTTGATGTACAAAGTATTTGAACTTTAAATAGTCTGAATCTATCAGTATTATTTGTCTATATTTCTCGAATGTGTTACGTGTAGACACATAAATTTAAGCTAAATTATTACATATTCTATACGTATGTATACGAATGTATGTGAGCATGACGATCTGCGGGGCGGATGTGTTATGGTATTTCACGTAATTTGCCAAATATTACTTGCTGTAACGAGTTATGAATATAGCAGGATATTGTATAATATAAATGTATTTTAAGCACTCCCACTGTATAAGGGAAATGTGCGACTTTCCGATTGTGAAACCCTGTGTTTTGCTGCGCGATCTCTTGGTCGGTCTTACGTATGTGCCCTTATATTTTTGTTCCCTTTTAAAGGAGTTTATGAATAAAGTTACCCTCTTTGTTCCTAGAATAATGTTTTTATCATTACTTTCATCTGACATGTTAATTCCATATCATTCGAAATTTTTAAATAAGGAATTTCGATAAGAACTCACAACTTAATTATTAGTTGAATAGTTTTAATTTAATTATTGATTCGAGGTGTGTGACGAAATAGCTCTTACTTAGTTTTATAGCGGTATCGTGACTTATCTTAATAAATTTTTAATTATATTATTGACATACATCTTATCACGCAAAGAGTAAATATTTGAACGTCACATTGAGATTTATCGAACGATGATTTATTTTAGCAGGTATGGGCTCATGGCATGTTACCGGTGATCGAAGTAATGCGGGGGGTGTTGTGGGCTCTGTGGCAACTTCCGGAGCGGGAGATGAGGTTTTTCTCGCAGCTCAGGAGGCCGCACAGGCTCATCGCGACTCACAAGGTAGGCTCAGTGGCTTCATGTTTCATCTGCCTCCTGCCCCCCGTAACAATAGACACTCGCATAATTTGTTTCAATGTCAAGAGTTTCTACCGTCTCTGAGTCATTTGTATCACTGATAAAGTGCAAATTCTAAATAATTTTATGGCTATGTAGAGTAGAAACGTGCGTACTTGCGTTTGAATGGGCTCGAGAATATGGAAAATTTTTCAAAATAGAAATGGATGATATCTTGTAACGTGATAGATCGACAATGGCTCATTCACAAGCGCGAGTACGTTGTTGAAAGTTTCGATGACATGTTTCGATACGCGCGCGTAATTATACGTGGCTATTGCGCAGGCGGGGCGGAGCTTCTTTTTCTTTCGTTGTTGATAACGTGGTTCAACCTAGATTCCGGTGCGTTCAAGTGTAGCACGGTCTCTGAAAGAGCTTTTTATTTTCTATCGGAGCATGTAGAGCTTTCTGTTAAGAATTCTTAAGTTCTTTCTGTTTATCTTTCTATCTTTTTCTTTTCTTAGCGTAGTGTCGCGATAAGTGAGACTTGACGTAAGACGAGCCGCACGTGCGTTCGCGCGCGCCTTTTCTCGCGTCATACAGCAATTGGTTTTCTATAATCGGTTTCGCGATATTCGTTCTGTCGCCTCGTCTTCGTTAGCCTTGCAATGCGCGACGCTACGGCCTCTCTCTCCTCTGAAAGGAGTTACGACATCGCGAGGACAGCAGGGAGAACACGAGACCTCAATATCTCGTGTCAATTTTGCGCGTAAAAAAAAAATACGTAGAACGATTACAGTTAGCAGTACTTTATCCGCGATGATAGTTAAACGCGGTTTCATATACTATAACAGTAGTTGGCAGTAAATTATAGTAGTGACATCTCTGATAGTGAAATTTTTCTACTGTTATTTTTACGTAAATATACGTTGAAACAGCTATGGAATGAAATAGCCAAGATAGGTAGCGACTTACGAGAATTGAGAGATTATAAATCTGTTAGTATATCATATTTTGTTCACAACGAAGTATGAAGCGTCGATTATTTTTTAATTTTATCGATTATAGATGTAACGAGACGTTTTTATTAATCAAGCACCGTATTATTGATGTTTAAAGTCAGTTAAGAATTAAAAATAGTTACAAACGGAATCGCGCATCATCGATAACTGAAAACATGTAGGTGTAAAGATCAATGGGTATAAGGATTGAGTAGGATGTCTCTCTCGATGGTCTCTCTGCCTTTTGAAACCGGTTCGTTTCGTTCACGTTTATGAATTTCCACAAAGTTGAATAATGCATTGCGTGATAAATCCAACGATAGGGATTTCGACACGCGATTGTTTTATAAGAAACGATACGGTATATGACATACTTGTTTTCGATGCGGAAACACGTATGGAACATAACTCGCTATTTTATAGTCTGATTTCATTCGCGGAAGTCGTGGCTCAGCGATTAAGTAACTAAGGAAATTTTGGGACGTATCCGGATTGTTTCCTTGTTGCTATGGGAAATTGAAGCTGAAGCAATGTAAGAGTTTCTCGGTGGGCAGGAATATAACGGGCTTCGCGCAATCGAGCGAGTGTGAGCCAGCAGTCTCGCCTTGACTCTAATCGGCCTTTCACGAAATTTGACTCTACTGTGTGTATATATATATATGTATAATGTAGGTAACGTTGAGCACCTTCAACAATGATCATTTTACGCTGATTCTCGGCACGATTCGGAAGTAATCGTTTCACAACCTATGCAGTTACTTGACTCTAGAACGGTATCACCCGAATTTCTAAGTGATGCCCACTGCGTCGTTAGGACGTTTTTTTTTTTTTTTTAGTATATTCATCGATTACACATTTACGTGTTATTTCACTTAGGACTCAATATAATTTTTTAAGTTATTTATTTCATTCAATTTTTTATGCGTCATCTATTAGATGATCCACTGCTCTCATGTATCACATTCGATTGCTCTTAGGATGTATGCAAAACGGATTTAATTATTTGAAACCGAATGGAAACTTTCGAATCAAGTTTTTTTTTCAGACCACTCATAGCGGACATGAGAAATCTAGCTGATCATGTTTGTGTAGTATAATAGGCATGTATATTTAATGGCCTGGTCGAGGCATTCTCACGAACGCTCATTGACCTTGGGTTCCGTGATACTTGGAACGAACGCGCGTGGTAGGGAAGATTTCTATCGAAAAAGATAGAAGAGACGACAAAAAGCGAGTAAGCGAACCTACTGGCGACGAGATATATCATACATACGTTCTCTTATCGCGATGTCAATTTGCAAAAGACGTCGTTTCGAAATTCACAGTCATAAAGAGTAATGAAAAATAACTTTCACGATAGATTTTACGTTAATTTGCAATAAAGTCAAGGTCGAGCGATTATATAGTTTTTGAGGAAACTTCGGTAGAAATCATACATTACATATGTTGCGTATATATGTAAAATACTTAACGTAATTACAGTTTAACCATTACGTTTAACGTGAGCCGGCGAGTGAAAAATTGAGATAAAGAGATAGTTTCTTCGTTGTTTAACAAGAATGCGTTAGCGAAGATAAGACTGATATAAAAATTAATTGAACGTCGCGGTTTACTGATGACCCAGATTTATCGCGAACTCATGTATCAGGCGCGCTGAATTGTATTGAGACGATTATTATATTACGTAACGACAAAACGGAAAGATTACTGTATAGTTTCTCAGCGGTACAATAGGGAACGATAGTTTCACCAGTATTAACGTAACGAGGCTGATAACGAATTATATGATAGATACCTAACTTCATTTGTAACAATTGTACGATTTGTTACTTGAATGTAACAAAAATTCGAAATATTCTCGGTTACTTTTTTCCTTCGTTTGCTCGTGAAGAAGGAAATAACGAAATTTTTGTCAGTTATTACGGTCGGTTGGCAACGCAAGTTTCTTGCCGAGACGACGGGGACCAGCTTGCTTGCATCTGCTAACGTACTTGCGACAGCTGCACACCGAGCAGCTGATGCAGCTGGATACCGGTTGCCCCAGATGACTGAACCGGAAATTGTCCGCCCGGCGCCGCGCCATATCCTTCGTGATCGGGTGATCCCTTTACGAGTTGAAATATAAAACTGTGTTTATACGATGCGGTAACAATTCACTATAGAGCAAAGAAGATTCGATTTTCTTTTAATTTTCGTAAGAGCAGTCTCGTTATTACGGTGAACATGAAAGGATAATTCGGCGAAGGAGAGACATATTGAGAGAGAAGAATAGCGTAAAACAAAAGTTAATGTCTTTTTTATTAGTTTTTATTAGGAGGGGTAAGAGGAGGGTTTTTCTTAGGTACGGTCCGGTTTTTCGTTAGCTTTTAAGGTACATGATCGCCCTAATGCGGTGATCCAACGTGGGAATCAAGGTAATTTCGGAGAGAGAGGAGCGGCCTCTTTGTCAATGCTAGCGTTGCTAAATCTCGAATTCGTACTCGCGATCGCGCGGTTCCTGACGTGTGACTCGATGACGGTGATTCTTTTTCGCGATGTCCTTACGCGCCAGGTGCCCGTGGAATCGCGAGAGTTTCTCGTTTGCTAAGCTCGTCACGGCAGACGAAATTGCATTCTGCCTCCCACTTTTCTCACGCTGTGTGTCAATGCGTCTTGTGTCGCGCGCGATACACTTACAAAAGAAAGATTACATTGGACAGATGCTCGCATTGATAGCGAAGGTCGTTTTTTTTCACCGTCAGAGACTTGTTGCCTTGAATCTAGTTTTTCGTGCCGTTCGAAGAAGAGGGGCCGACATTTAAAATTGCGCCTCAAGCCAAACGCGATCGGGGTCCACTTTTTAGAGGCTCCTCTGCTCCACGGAAAACGCGTCTCTTTCCGTTTTTTTTTTTGTTTATTTTGGAATTTCAACATCAAAAGCTCTCTCACACATTTCGTTATCGCTTCTTACATTCCGTACATGTACATCTTCACTCACGTTTGTTGTTGGTCTTTCTTCGAGTTTTCGTTCCATGACGAGACGCCGAGTTCGCGATTCTAGGACCGGAGTTGCGCCACGTTGTTCGCAGCGCGTAGATCTCTTTATTTTTTTCTCTCGTGAATATTTTCTGTCGCGGAGACACGCGAAAGCGTTCCGTCGACAAGACAAAGGTAAACGCGTTCACGCCTGTCCGAAGGAATGATCACCGAAGACACTCGAGCTATCTTCGGCCGTTTCTTCTGGCAACAGTGAAACGATTGCGTTTACCTTTGCCAATCCGGGACGAGATTCACCCTCGGATCCTAGATAATAAAAAGCCCATTGTAGCTGTGACGTGTTTTTTTTGTTGGCGCGAGAAAGAACCAGTATATATATATGTAACGAGGGTGCGTGTACTAATCATGCACAAAAGTCGAATCGTGCAGGAACTTGGCCGAGAATCGCGTGAGGAACATCCAGTGTCTCCTCGTTGATCGCGGATTGGAACAACCGAGTACGTTGATGTACAACCAGCCGTGCGCGGAGTCTTACAGTAAAATTCTCTGCTCTCTATACCATCTCTCTCTCGTCCAGGGTGATGTCTCGCGCGTTTTCCTTTCTCCTCTCTCCCAATTATGCACGACGAAGAAACGCAGGGAGCACGGATACCCTCGCCCTTCTGCCTGCCTGTTCTCCTCCCGTCCATGTACATCTGTTTTGCCTATCTCTTTTTTTTTGTCTTCTTTTTCTCATCGAAATTTGCACTTCTCATACGGCTGGTTGTAAGTCTCGAAACCGGCTGGCCGGGAAATTCGCCTCTCGCTCGATCGATCTCGCTTTTCCCAAGAGAGGGATCGGCGAGGTCCATCGACGTTTTACAATGTTTCTCTCACGCATCGCGCGCATTCACACGTTATGCGTAACTTACATTCACGTTGGGTTGCGATTCGCTATACGAACGAAAAAAGCACGTTCCACATCAAGATCTTGGTCGCGCAAGCGCGCGCGCACCAGGAATAATACCTGCAGTACGATATAACGATGTA